CCCCAAAACCCCAAAACCCCAAAACCCCGAGTCATTCAAATAATATCAAAAATAATTAATAGACTAACTATTAGTCTAAAAACTTTAATGATATTTGAATCCATTAAATTCATATAACATAAGCTTATCATACTCATACTTTCCTATCGACTTTTCAAATCTCATCACTGAAATGCTTGTTCTGTATTCCAGTATTCAGGCCACCTTGACCTTTTAGTTTGTCTCTTTCCAATGCTTCCTGTAACTCTTTTATCTATTCCTTAAACAATTCTCTCAGAAACTTTCCAAGTTCATCCAGAGTGATCTCACCACTTTCATTTTCATCTAGGAGAGCAAATACTATTCTATGTCTGTCCTCAAAGTCTCCATTGTTCAAACCACTCTCATCTGTATGTACTCCTCTAAGTAATCCCTTAATGAAACTTTCAACTTCATCACGCTCTAGAGTACCACTGTTATCAGTATCAATTGCATCGAAAATTGCCTTATTAATCTCAGCAAATTTCTCTTCGTTAGTCAAAATCTTATGTAAATTGTCTATAGCTTTCGCAAAATCCATATTTGAATATTTCTTATCTAAAGTAGTGGGTAAGAAGGGGAATAGCTCAAATTTACTTAAAATTAAATTAATAATTATTGTTTAAAATTCATAATTAACAAACAATAAGAAAAGGAATTATAGGAATATGGCTAATTAAAGAGAAAGTAGCAAGAACTAAAAACACGAGGAGTTAAACCTTTCACAAGTCAACCCCATCTAGCCAAATATCAATCCCACTAGCCCTTCAGCTCAAGGCACTCAAGGGCAATCCAAGGATAAAACTATAGGATAATATATTCTTGGAAAATCCATTGGTGAGGGAACGTTTGGTAAAGTAAAGCTTGGAACACATATAATTACAAACGAAAAGGTATGTTTAAATTAAAATTGTTGTAAAATCAACCCATCAAATAGGTAGCAGTTAAGATTCTTGAAAAAAATAAGATCATTGATGTTGCCGATGTTGAGAGAGTGTCAAGAGAGATTCATATTCTGAAGATAGTCAGACATCCGAACGTTGTTTAATTATATGAAATTATCGAAACATAAAGAAAATTATATCTTATAATGGAGTTCGCATCTGGAGGAGAGTTATTTGACTACATTGTACAGCATTAAAGAGTGAAAGAAAAGGAGGCATGCAAATTTTTCCAATAAATCATAGCTGGAGTTGAGTACATCTCTCGTTTGAATGTTGTTCACAGAGATTTAAAGCCTGAAAATCTTCTTCTTGATTATGACAAGGGCATCAAATTAGTAGATTTCGGTCTTAGTAATACCTATAAAAACGGAGAATTATTAAAAACTGCTTGTGGTTCGCCTTGCTATGCAGCCCCTGAAATGATAGCAGGCAAGAAGTATCATGGTACAAATGTAGACATATGGTCTTGCGGAGTCATTTTGTTTGCTCTAGTTTGTGGATACTTGCCTTTTGAGGATCCAAACACTTCGAATCTTTATAAGAAAATTCTAAGCGCCGATTTTTCAGTCCCGAGGTTTGTATCAAATGAAGCCAAGGATTTGATATCTTGCATATTGAATACTGATCCAGAAAAGAGATATAAAATCGAAGACATAAGGAAGCACCCTTGGTTTAATCTTGTGAAATGTGACGAGCATTTCAGAGGTACAATAGTAGGCATTGACCCAGTACCGATAGATCCAGTGATCTTGGAAAGCCTAGCTGAATATAATATTAATGTTGACTATGCTAGAAAATGCCTAGAAGCAAATAAGCATAATCACATCACTGCTACATATTTCTTGCTACTAAAGAAGCACCTTAAGAACGGAGGAGAAAGTATTGCAGATCCTAGATCCCCAAAGTACGATCCAACTTACTTTATGAAAAGACAGCCGAATTTTAAGAATCTTGTAGATGCTAAATAAGATTAAAAACAAGAGTAAGTCAGAGGAGGTAGTTAATAACCCACAAGAATTAGGAGGATTGCTGATGGATTAGCTGACATGGAGCGATACACTACAGTCTAAAGGTAAAAAGCTCTTTTTGGAGATCAAAACAGATAAGGAAAAAGAAGAGCTGAAAGCTCAGGTGGATATTCAACTATTCAAGAACCGAACGAAGTAATAACTTCAAATAATATTAGAGACCTTACAGCAAATCATGAAAGATCACCCTCTATAAGTCCTTCAACAATCAGAGTGAGTAATAACACTCATCATCATTTGTATGAAAAGCAGAATAGCAGAGGTGGCCTATCAAATTCGATGTTTTATCATAATATGATGATGCCTGATTCGGTTACACCAATTAGTAGTAATATGTAAACCTCAACTACGCCTGGATTAGAGTTTTAAATGCAAAATTATCAACGATTTTAAACAATGGATTAGGAAGTCAATATAACCAACCAGCGATACTAGACTATTGATTTGAATAGAAACAACCAATCTTAAACTAGAAGAAATAGATCAAGCTCGAAGAACGATCCATACTCTAAGCCACCATTGTCAAATCAAATGCAAACACTCTAAAATCAATATAATATGATCCTTAGTGGAAACTAAAATATGAATACTTCAAACAGACACCCCACAATTAATATTGACAGTTCATTCTATCATCCATTCAATATCATCAAGTAGAGCAACAATCAACCCTCAAATAATACAAGAAAGAGAAAAACAGCAAATTACTCAGTCAACTACTCTACAAATAATGACAAGTCTTATCTTTTGAATACTAATGGTCTGGCAAATTACAATCATGAGTTGATGAAGCTTTAAAATACTGCTTTGATCAATTAAAGTATGCTAAGCAATACATCCACCCCTTTTGAAATATAAAATGCTGTAATCTCAAACAGAGACAAAGCTTAAAAACGAGATGACTTCTAGACATACTAACCAATGTAAAATGATATGGGAATATCTTATCTATCAAAATCTTCACTCAAAAACTAAAATACTTCCAACCTTTAGTATTTAATGAATGCTACTCCTACTTAATTGATTGCTTAGGCAATTAGCCCAAGCATGTTCCCACGAGAGCCTAAGATGAATCAATAGAAATAACTTATTAGTTCTGCTGTAAGAAGCAGACGCTATAAGAAAGAAAACTCATCTACTTCGAAGCATGAATCACCAAAGGCTCTATATACACGAAAGTAAGAGTACATATCTATTAATTTTTAAACTTCCTTATAGTTTGTTGAATGTTTACAAAGGAACAGCTCAGAGAAAACCTAATAATAGTAATATTTAGGGCAACCAGAATAATAATCATATGGTCCAAGTAATGTCAGGCGAATCAATAACTGCTAGCATGGATCAAAGACAAATTAATAAAACTAGTCTCAACCCAAACGGCTTAATCGACTAGTCTAACTTATATTTAAATCCAGCCCAAGCTGCTTATATTCTAAATAACTACACTCCTTAGAGCCAGATTAAAAACAATAGTATGATCAATTACAATAAAACATAGCAACTAGACTTTGTAACAAAACTATAAGAACAGCAATAACAGCAACAGCAGATTGCTTCAAATTTGAGTGCTGTATCTACTTAGTAAAGAAGCTCATCTTAGAAAAAGGGTATGTACACCACAAATGACAACACTACACCCAGCAGCAACATGAATGTTATTGAGAAGAATCCGATGAATATAACTATATACAACAAAGACTTCCAGATTTACTGGAACGGGCAGCAGATGTTTTAAACACCTAAGGATCCTTCGATAATAGACCCATCCATTTAAAATATTTATAGCAATGGTGGAAAGGGATTTTCCCAAAAAATACAATGATTGTTACAATTAGATAAATTGAAAACCATAAACCTAACGATATCACATATAGACTTGTAATTTTTGATTTTTATAATTCACATGCTTCAATCTAATTTGTGTACAAGGGGTTTTGGGGTTTTGGGGTTTTGGGGTTTTGGGG